ATGTGGGGCTCCATCCCAGGACCCTGGGATCATGACCTGAGCCGAAGGCAGATGCTTAACGACTGAGCCACCCAGGTGCCCCTAAAAAGCTTACTCTTAATATTTGCTAATCATTATCAGTTACTTGTGGTTTCTATTTCACTTTTTTTCAATTTTGTGAGTTGGATTTATTTCACATTTATAATTTGGTATGTTTGGGTATCTTTTAGCTTTTGGTACTTATGCAAAAGAATAAGAATTCTAAAACCATTTTAGGTAAAAATAATTAATTCATACTTTACTTATGTTCTGTGATCCTCTTTGAAGACATAATTTTATTCTTTTAAGATTAACTTAAATCTAAGATCACTTTCAAGCATAGAGGGGCACAAGTCCTTGGACCACAGGGATGATGATGAGAATACTGCCATTAAATCCTTAAGAAGAGGAGAAGATATACTTTTCCTCAGAAAATTTTAGAGAAGTTGAGGTGGTGGTGGCCTTTGGAGCAAGGATTTTTTTGGTTAATACTTCAGAACCTACTAGGATAATACAATCTACTGGTTGGCACTTCTGACTGAAACAAGCCTATATAATTACTAGTTAATTTTTTTTCCTTTTGCAAGTGTAACTATTTGTTTTTTCCTTTCTTTTAGCATAATTCTCCATCTAGTGATGATAGTTCAGACTACAGCCTTGATTCAGATGTCGAACATACAGAAAGTTCCCACAAAAAAAGAGCTAGTTTCTACAGGGATTATGACATTCCATTTTCTCAGGTATTGCCTTTTTAAAACAATTGTGATCAAATATACACAGCATAAAATTTGCCATTTTAACCACTTTTCAACATACAATTCAGTGGCATTAAGTATATTCACAGTGTTGTGCAACCATCACCACTATCCTTTTCCAGAATTTTTCATCATCCCAAACAGAACCTGTGTACCCATTAAATGATAACACCTCACTTCCCCCTCCCCACCAGCCCCTGGTAACCACTATTCTACTTTGTCTCTATGAATTTGCCTACTCTATAGGCATATAGGTGGAATAATACTGTATTTGTCTTTTTCTGTCTGGCTTATTTCATTTATCATAATTTTTTGAAGGTTCATCTAGCATGTATCAGAGTTTCATTCGTTTTTAAGGCTGGATAATATTCCATTGTATGTATATACCATATTTTGTATGTTCCTCTGTGTTGGACAGATGGATTGCTTCCACCATTTGGCTATTGTGATAATGCTGCTTATGAACATGGGTGGGTAATATTTCTTTGAGACCCTGCTTTCAGTTCCTTGTAATATATACCTAAGAGTGGAATTGCTGGATCAGATAGTAATTCTGTGTTTAATTTTCTGAGGAACTGCCAAAATGGTTCCCATAATGGCTGCACCATTTTACATTCCCACCACAATACATGAGGTTTTCCAGTTTCTCCACATCCTTGCCAAACTTGTTATTTTCTGGGGCTTTTTTGCTTTATTTTGCTTTGAGTTTTATTTTATTTTTTTTTTATAATAGCCTTCCTAATATGTGTGAAATGACCTCTCATTGTGGTTTTGAGGTATTGCCTTTTTTTTTTTTAAGATTTTATTTATTTGAGAGAGTGAGAGAGCACAAGCGGGGCAGGGGGGAAGGGTAGAGGGAGAAGCAGACTCCCCAGTGAGCAGGGAGCCAACTTGGGACTGATCCCAGGACCTGAGCTGAAGGCAGATGCTTAACTGACTGAGCCACCCAGGCACCCCTGAGGTATTGCCTTTTAAGGGGAAAAATGAAATTTTCAGTTTTATTCTTTGCCTTCTGATATTTTGAAAAAATGTTTTATATTTTTCAATATAGAAAAAGAGACATGCAGATGTATGCTATAAATTTTAAATCTTTGAAAATCATACATCATATATTAGATTGCTAGGACTATCATAACAAAATACTACAGACTAGTGGTTTAAACAACAAAGTTTATTTTCTAGTAGTCTGGAGGCTATAAGTGCAGATCAAGATGCCAGCAGGGTTGGTAGCCTCTGAGGACCATAAGGGAAAGATCTGTTTAGCCCTTTCTCCCTGGCTTGTAGCTGGCTACTGTCTTGCTGCTTTGTCCTCAAATGGTCATTCTGCTATGCATGTACACCCCCAGGGTCTCTCTGTGTGTCCAAATTTCCTCTTATAAGGACATCAGTCAGATTAGATCAAGGCCCACCCTAGCGACCTCATTTTAACTTAATTACCTCTTTAAAGGCCCTATCTCCAAATACAGTCACATTCTGAGGTATTGGGGGTTAGGGCTTTCACATATGAATTTTGTGACATCTACCTCTTTAAGTGCAAAAAATTATTTGAAGTGTTTTAAATAGAAAAAAAATTAAAAGAACATGATATACTTTATATCTTTCTCAGGCATGTTGTACTGTATGAACAGTCTGCAGTGTAAATAGTCTTTTGTGCTAGAAAAATCTTGATGCTCTCAGGAACACTGGGGAGTATTCAGATCAATGTGCACCTATCTGAAAAACCACAGACTTTCTGAGTTCTGGTTTCTGCCAGTCTGTCAATATGCTTGTCTACAGAGTTCTGTTCTTTTTCCTAATTTGATGTTCCTAATCTCTTATGAGCTTAGAAAACAAAATACTCTGTGTGTTAGAGTTCTTTCATTGCCTTCTGTTTCTCTATTGCCTTCTTTATAGCTGAAGTTGCTCAGTAAGTAATTATTGAATAAATTAAGTTTATTATAATATCTTCTATTAAAATTTGAAAAGAATTATACTCTAGTTAATAATTTTGTCGAGTTAGGTGAACGTATCTGTATATTCAGTGTGTCTGCTGATTTTGGAGTAAATGGAGCTGCCATTTCTCAGAACACTAACAGTTATTTATTACTAATGACAAAATTTTTAAATATATCAAACACTGATTTGATACCTAAATTTCATAATTTGCAGGTAGATTTATGTTTTAGAAATAATCAAAAGTTGTTTAGAGACTATTCCAAACAATGAAAAAATGCTCAGAATGATCGTTACTGTTTCAGATAGCAAAGCATTTGAAAATATCAAATAATGAGATTTATAAAAGCTCTTGATTCATAAGCTGTCACTAAAAGTTATTCCAGAAAAGGAGGTATACAGTATTTTAAAACAGTGGCAGAAGTATTTTAATAAATATATAGCCTTCTATGGGGGCTACTCTGAAGGACAAAATAAATTTGTATGTATAAACAACATTACATTTGTTTTAACTGATTCATATTTTCTTAAACATTATAATTATTGTCATTAAACTATTATATATCTCTAGAAATACAATGTAATTATTTTTGTTTCAAAAATTCAGTTAAAGAAATTAAGAAAAGAAAAAGGATGATATTTTATATTTACCCACATTTCACTTCCAGTGCTCTTGTTCCTTTGTGTAGATCTGAATTTCAATCTGGTGTCATTTTTTTTAAATTTTATTTTATTAAGTTAATCACCATACATTACATCATTAGTTTTTGATGTAGTGTTCCATGATTCATTGTTTGTGTATAACACCCAGTGCTCCTTTCAGTATGTGCCCTCTTTATTATTTTTTTTAAATTTTATTTTATTATGTTACGTTAGTCACCATACAAGTACATCATTAGTTTTTGATGTGGTGATCCACGCTTCATTGTTTTCGTCTAACACCCAGTGCTCCATGCAGTACGTGCCCTCCTTAATACCCATCACCGGGCTAACCCATCCCCCCACCCCCACCCCTCTAAAACCCTCAGTTTGTTTCTCAGAGTTCATAGTCTCTCATGGTTCATCTCTCCCTCTGATTTTCCCCCCTTCATTTTTCCCTTCCTTCTCCTAATGTCCCCCATGCTATTCCTTATTTTCCACAAATAAGTGAAACCATATGATAATTGACTTTCTCTGCTTGACTTATTTCACTTAGCATAATCTCCTCCAGTCCCATCCATGTTGATTTAAAAGTTGGGTATTCATCCTTTCTGATGGCTGAGTGATACTCCATTGTATATATGAACCACATCTTCTTTATCCATTCATCTGTGGAAGGGCATCTCGTCTCTTTCCACAGTTCGGCTATTGCGGACATTGCTGCTATGAACATTGGGGTGCATATGACCCTTCTTTTCACTACATCTGTGTCTTTGGGGTAAATACCCAGTAGTGCAATTGCTAGGTCATAGGGTAGCTCTATTTTTAATTTTTTGAGGCACCTCCACACTGTTTTCCAAAGTGGCTGTACCAACTTGCATTCCCACCAACAGTGTAAGAGGGTTCCCCTTTCTCACAACCTCTCTAACATTTGTTGTTTCTTGCCCTGTCAATTTTTGCCATTCTAACTGGTGTAAGGTGGTATCTCAATGTCGTTTTAATTTGAATTTCCCTGATGGCTAATGATGGTGAACGTTTTTTCATGTGACTGTTAGCCATTTGTATGTCTTCTTCAGAGAAGTGTCTGTTCATGTCTTCTGCCCATTTTTTAACTTGATTATTTGTTTTTTTGGGTGTTGAGTTTGAGAAGTTCTTTATAGATCTTGGATACCGGCCCTTTGTAGTATCATTTGCAAAAATCTTCTCCCATTCCGTGGGTTGCCTCTTTGTTTTGTTGACTGTTTCCTTTGCTGTGCAGAAGCTTTTTATCTTGATCAAGTCCCAGAAGTTCATTTTTGCTTTTGTTTCACTAGCTTTTGGAGATGTATCTTGAAAGAAGTTGCTGTGGCTGATGTTAAAGAGGTTATTGCCTATATTCTCCTCTAGGATTTTGATGGATTCCTGTCTCACATTGAGGTCTTTCATCCATTTTGAGTTTATCTTTGTGTATGGTATTAGAGAATGGTCGAGTTTCATTCTTCTGCATGTGGCTGTCCAATTTTCCCAGCACCGTTTATTGAAGAGACTGTCTTTTTTCCATTGGACATTCTTTCCTGCTTTGTCCAAGATTATTTGACCATAGAGCTGAGGGTTCATATCTGGGCTCTCTATTCTGCTCCATTGATCTATACGTCTGTTTTTGTGCCAGTACCATGCTGTCTTGATGGATCACTGCTTTGTAATATAGCTTGAAATCGGGCAACGTGTTGCCCCCAGCTTCTAAGTTCTAAGAATAATGCAAAGAACTCCTGTATATCTTTCACCCAGATTCCCAGAATGTTAACATTTTACTGCATATGCTTTGTTTTCTCCTTTACCTTTCTTCTCTCCTCTTCTCTTTAGAGGATCTAATTTGTCATTAAACCCATCTATTAAGTTCTTAATTCCAGTGTTTGTGTTTTTCAGATCCAGAAATTTGGTTTTTTTTTCAAATCTTTAATTTTATAGTTCCCAGTTCACTGCTAAAATTCTCGTGTCATTTTTTTTTTTTAAGATTTATTTATTTGACAGAGAGAGACACAGCAAGAGAGGGAACATAAGCAGGGGGAGAGGGAGAGGGAGAAGCAGGCTTCCCACCAAGCAGGGAGCCCGATGCTGGGCTCAATCCCAGGACCCTGGGATCATGACCTGAGCCGAAGGCAGACACTTAACAACTGAGCCACCCAGGTGCCCCTCTCATGTCATTTACTTGAAAATAGCAAGCACAGATATTTTAAAATCTGTGTCACATGAATTTCAGTATCTGGAGTCTGTTTCTATTACTGGTTGCTTTTAGCTGTTCCTCATGCCAGTCTTATCTCCTCATATGACTAGGTTTTTTGTTTGCTTTTGTATTGTGTGCTGAGCATTGTGTTTGCAAAATACAGTGCATTTTGTAGAAATAATTTGAGGCCTGAGATGATATTAATTTCCTT